AATAAAAACGAAATCGCAATATTTCGGTTTTTCTCGGATATTTCCGGAACGGCTTGGAATTTTCAAATTTGTAAAACGGGATCTTGTTCGGTATCAAAATGCGCAACTTTTGTCTAATTTAACCGACACTGTATCTCTTATAGTTTCCGAGATCCCCATGCTGTGCATCCTTATCTTGGACACACTGTATATGCGGACTATATCGGACCCATTTTTCAGTTTTTTTGAATTTGCGCCGCAAACTGTACATTCTTGAAAAATTATCAATCATAGAAATTTATGGAGTCGAATCTTTTGCGTTTTCGTTCAATTTTTTTTTTTTTTTTTGGTTTCGTAGACGGTTTTCGAGAAATGATTTTTTCTTAGGCCTTGCAAACGCGATTTTTTTTTTTTAAATACTTCCCGACACCCCAGCCCCGCCAATTTCAAAAGGTTCCGTCATATTGACGATATTGTAATGACCATGCAGAGAAGAGGTTTTTATTTTTTTAAGCAAAAACCGTACATCAGATTGAAAAAATCATTGACATTCAATTAGAAAATACCTTGGATGAAAAAAATCATGTATTAAAGAAAGTTACCCCCCCTAAAACTCCATTAAAAAAAATCTGATCTTCAAATTTGCGAGGTTAAAATTTGAAATGCAGATTACATGAAAAATTAAATTTTTCTAATAAACGAATTCCTTTGCAAATTTTTAATGGGTCCCCGAAAACGGAAAACAGCAATTGTCCGCTCTTATTTCAACATAAACATTTTTCGTTTGTTATTCTAAATTCGCATATCGATAACTGATACTTTTTAAAAGTAAATAAAACCGAATATTTCTCTTGCCAACGGAACTTGTATCTCGGAAACGGTGCGTCGTACAGCGTCGCCATTGGTACAGACAGAAAGAAAACTATTTTATTTTTTGTCTGTTCTCCGTCCTCTGCAGTCTGTTCTCTGTTCCCTCCATAAAAATGGAAATAACTTCGGAACGGTTAGAGCTAGGATATTGAAACTTGACTCTTTTTAAACAGCCCACGAAATATGAAGAAATGGCGGGAATAGGGCCATCGCGTCCATCTTCTTTTCGGAATTTTCCTCTGGTTTTCGTACATCGCTATGAAACACGATAAGTGTCTTACATTTAAAGCTATATGACTTCAAATTTGGCAGACGTATAGAGTTAGTTACATAATTCGTTAAGACAGCTGCCATGTCTTCATTTAGCGTCTTCACATATTGTACAGGGTGTTCGGGATATTTCGTTCTAACATAAACCCACATTCAAGGGTTTTTAAGTTACGGTCAAAAATCCAAAACTATAAAACATGGGATAATCTCGTTTAAACAGTATATCGCGCTTAATGGAAATTTTGTTTTCTCTCATTCTCGATCGTCGAAATTTAGTTTTTCCCCTGGCGCAGACCAAAAGCTAGTCTCTGTAATTTGTCGCCCCGTAGTCGGCGTCGGTGCATGTCCCTGCGACTATTTTGCGCTCCATTAATTTATTTCCTCGCCCATCTGTCGATATTTTTACCGGACGAATATGAAGATTGGTCTACAAGCGATACGCAGCCTCATATTGCGTTTTATTTTGATAATGATACTTACTAATTCAAGATTCATATAAGAAGACAAGATAAACGGTCTTCGCATTGTCTTATTTTTTATTTACGCATTTAGAATGTTTGGTGGCAAATTATGCAAAATAATTACTCGAATGTAAAGGTTAAATTACGAAAATGCTCACAGCGTGGGGGACGATTATTGGATTGAATCTAAAAAGAAAACTTCATATGAACATACGTCTTAATCGTCTTAACTTTTGAGATACGGGGTGGTAAAGTTTTCAAAAATAAAATATATTTTTTTAATATCTGTAATTCCACTTTAGATATTTTAATGAAGTATCAGGAGGCATTATTTAGTGTACCACATTTTTTTTTAATACAGATATTCATGGTACGCCGCTGATTTATCTAAAAATAACTTCTAAAGAAATTCTATTTCTCAATTTTTTCAATCAATCAAATATCAAATCAAATATCCGAGCATTGTTATCTTAAAAAAAATGATATAGAATTTAAACATTAAAACAGTTTTCGGTAAAGGTTTGGGCTGGAATTGTTGGATATTACTTAATTATGCCCGTTTTCCTGCTAGAAAGGCTAAAACGCCATGATTATGGCCGATTTTTAGAATAGCCACTATTGCTAGAGGTACAATATTTAAATAACTAGGTCCCCAGATTTAAATAGTTGTTTGTCTCATGGGGGCAGTCTAGTTTGTCGCACCCCAGTTAACACTGTAGAAGATCTGAAGAATCGAATATGAGGAAAAGAGCTGAAGCGTGTATCCTTCAAGGTGGAGGACCTTCTCGACAATTTATCTAGTTGCTGCGTTCTACTTTTTTTTTAAGTTGTTACTAATTTATTAACAGCTCATTTTGTTAAAAATAGGTAATGTTTTTTTTTAATTATCTTATTTTTAGGATGTTATGTTGTTAAAACTGTAAAAGTAACTGAAAGTAAAAGTCAATAAAACCTTAATTAATGTTGTGAGAATTGAAGTTTATTAATGGAGAGGTATTTAAATCTAATTAATCATTAAGCAAAATATTTGAATGTCTCATTTTGTTAATTTTCATGGCTTCCAATAATTTTCATTTTCTACTTTTTGTGACTGTATGTAAAATATCAAAATTGTCGACAAAAATGTGTTTCTCTGTGTTTAAGTGTGTAGCATAATTAGAATCTAGACTATTGTTTTTAAACACTTTTTATGATCGTTAATAATTTTTTTAAAGGATCTACCTGTTTTTCCAATATAAATTTTGGAACAAGATCGGCATTTCAACCTGCAGACACCAGACTTTTGAGATTTTGGACACTTCGTTTTATTGTTTTTTAAAAATTGTCCTATTGTGTTGTTAGTTCTAAAAGCTATTTTCAAACTACATTGTGACAAATGTTTCGAAGCTGGGTTCTGCTATGTATGTAATTGTTTTAAATTGTTCGTGTTCTGTATTAGGTTTCGGAGTTTACTGTTGTCTGGATTTGGTTTTTATTTATAATTTTATCGATAATGGACGGATTGTAGCTGTTGTTCAGAGCAATTTGTTTAATGATATTCAGTTCTTTGTTGTAATTTTCTGTTGAGAGTGGCGTATTAAGCAGTCTGTGTAAAAAAGAGTGAATTGCAGCCATTTTGTGTGTATAAGGGTGACTTGAGCTGGTATGTATGATTGTGTCCGTGTGTGAAGGTTTATGGTAAATGAAAAAATATATTTTGTTTTGCGTTTTCGTAATAGTTAAGTCTAAAAAGTTAATAGTTATCCTGTGCAATCTCGATAGTGAATTTTATTCGATTATGTAATGAGTTAATGTAATTTAAAAAAGAATTCAATTTTCTGTCCGTTCCAACAAAGGAAGCAAAGGCATCGGCCACGTATCTATATCACCATGGAAAACTTTTACTTTGCAATAAAAAATTGTGAAATTGTGAAAATCTGAACTTTTAGTTCTTATTTATTTTGTTAAATGGATTTTCATCAAGTATAACCCACCTCTGTTCAATTATAGTTATAGTAACAAACTTGTCATAGATTTAAATTATTCCCCTTTGCAACTGGAACTTTCACATTATTCGTTTTCAAACAGTTGGATAGCGTTTAATCGTGTTAGTTCGATGCATACTACACCGCAAGTTCGAAGAATGGCTATTAGTCAGTGGACAGTGTGAAGGAGACGGCAGGAAAACGACCTGACCCCAAAAACAACTGCAATTGGACCAATGAGGGGTCTGCTCCGTTCTCAGATAAGACCAGAATATGCCTTTTTGGCAAGGACCGACGAAAAAAGTGTACCGAAGACTAGGAGAGAGATTTGCAAAATGCTTCAATGAAGAGCGGAGCGTGGAGTTGGTTTCTGCATGATATGGCGTACAATTTCTATGGAAGCACGAACCGACCCTGTTCTCATCCGTAAGCGCAATTGTGGTCAAGGGGCAGGAGGTTTAACAGGTGGTAGATACATAGATTATATTTTACCAGATCACGTGGTACGATATATCGACTACATTTTTATGCATGACAATGCTAGGCCGCACACCTCACGCACATTACAGAAGTCGGTTCTCGAGTTATGGAATGGCCAACATACAGTCCCGACCTCAATCCCATCGAAAATCTATGGGATGTGTTAAAATGGAGCATTCGAGCTGGATCCTAGAGCTTATTGTTGCAGTAGAGGAAGAGCGGCTTAACATTAGCGAATATCATTAGATCTACGCCTAATCGAGTGAGCGATGTTATTAGGGCAAGAGGGCGCCATTATTAAAAAATAAGAGTTGAGTTGCTAATTGTCAATAGCCCTGTTTGTTTTTAGTAATAAATAAAATTAATTTGACTCGGACGGTTATGCTAAATCTAAAAAGCAGAAATGAATTTTGGTCAATTTAAATTTGTATTTGTATTTCAAACAGCATTTTTTTTTATCTGATCAGTAGTTTAAAAAAAATAAAATTGAAGTGCACACAAAAGCCTATCTGGCAGCATCTTGTATAAAGTTAATGTTTAAAGAATTTTTGTCTGATATAACAAGTCTGTGATTTGGAACTCATAAGATTTTTTGCACCTGTTGGATAACTATGAGACACGCTTTCAAATATATTAGTATGTTTGTGAATTTCTAAAGGATTATGGAGAATATAGATACTTATTATCTTATCTTTTTTAAAATATGGAATACAGTGTTCATTGTGCTTAGCCCCAGCAAGAATTCTCATAGCCCTTTTCAGTATCCTGAATATTTGAACAGCATTAACAGAGTTTCCCCATCCTATTGTGTCATATGATTTGCGGGAATGAAATAAATCATAATACACTGTCATTAGAGCATTTTGATCTACGCTCTCCCTAATTTATCTAAGGACGGATAAGCTGGAAGATAGTTTCCGCTTAAGAGATAAAATATGTATTTAACGAAACGATCCGATCATAATTTGTTTTCCAGGCCCGGCCGAAAGAGACGACCGGAGCGTAAGCGTTATTTCCGGTGAATCTCCTCTCGGAACCAATGCGTGACGTAGCGAAGGGCACGAGCCGCCAATCGCAACGCGGGATGAGCCCGAACAGCGACCAATCGTATTTTGAGCGTCTCTGCCCTTTGCCATACGGATGCGCCTGCCAAACTACGCCGAAGGGCAGGCGGACAGGGCCGTGCCGGCCCCGCAACCTCGACGGATTTTTAAGAACATACGGATTTATTGTTACCAACGGCTCCCGTGAGTATAGTTTTGTTCGGAGTATATATATACAGAGTTATTCGCGGTGAGTGCCCTATTAGACCATTATGAAGAACGATTTACGGTGAAAATTTGGCCATGCGGTATCGCCAGACATACCCGTAACGTAGATTAAATTTCGTTTTTTAAATGGAACATCCTATATCTTATTGCATTTTTAGATTTTAATGGTTCTAATAGAAATAGTTGAACAAAAATTGCTCTCCAGGCATTCTTAAGTGTTTGGTAAAAGCTACTCTATGGAGATTCAAAAAATTCACTCTCATTGCAGCGTTGTCTGCCAAAAGAAGTTCAAGAATGTTCGAGCCTTCTGTGAGAGCTGGCTTTCAAGCGGCTAGGTTCTCATTTGTATGGAGTTTAAAAATAAAAGAAGTTCAAGAAAAATTTTCAAATGTCTGGTAACAGCTGTTCTATGGAGATTCAAAAATTCACCATTCTCATTGGAGCGTTGTCTACCAATAGAAGTTCAAAAATTTTCGAGCCTTCTGTGAGAGCTGGCTTTCGAGCGGCTAGTTTCTCGTTTTTATGGAGATTAAAAAGAAAAGAAGTTCAATAAAAATTATTCTCTAGGAATTTTTAAATGTCTGGTAAAAGCTACTGTATGGAGATTCAAAAATTCATCATTCTCATTGTAGCGTTGTTTACCAAAAGAAGTTCAATAATTTCCGAACCTTTTTTGTGAGTTGGCTTTCAAGTGCCTAGTTTATCGTTTCTATGGAGATTAAAAAGAAAAGAAGTTCAACAAAAATTATTCTCTAGGAACTTTTAAATGTCAGTGTTTTTAATGACAAAAACGATCTCTGTCGTCAGATTAAGCCATCTGTAGTTGATATTATTGTAGGTGTTCCACAGCCTTAACTGCAATCTTTAACCATTCTCAGAAAATATGTTCTAGTCTCATTTTGAATATAGATTATTGTCCGGTAGCTCAGTCTGAGAGTGTTAAATTTTTAGGTATTACGATCCATGATAATCTCAACTACAAAAATCCCTGCCAAGTCTTGATTTCTCGGTTGAATGTTCTGAGGAATTTGTGCACTGTACTGACGGAGTCACAGTTATTACAAATACATTGCTCTCATATTGAATTGAATTGATCTATACAATCGACAGTGTTGTTAGCACACGTTGTGTTGCTAGGGTACCTAGCTCTCATTCTTGTAGGAATTTGTGTGATAATACGGTATCCTGACCTTACCAAGTTTTCCTCAAAATAAAGGTATTCAACGCCAGGTATTCAACCGAAATTTGCCAAAAATAAAATTTCGTCTAGGACACCCTGTATACAGGGGCTGCAAGTCGGATAAAATAAAATATAACTCTTTAACAACTTTTAAAATAAGATGAAAGAATTTTTTATTGCAAACATATTTACACACTGTAAGCAGTTTTTTTTACATAACCTTTTGTAGTGTCTCTATACATTTGGTCTGTACTTGTTAATATAAACTTTTTTAAATTTGACATTACCTACACAAATTGTTAAAGCATTTGTCTCTATAAAAAATATTAGTACTATTATTATTATTATTATGAAGATTAAAAAGAGAAAGTCAATAAAAATCTACGTATAGAATCAGCCACTCTACGGAGGTTGGAAATTTGACCATCGTAGAAGAAGTTCAACGAAAAGTCGACTACGAATTAACTAATTGCCAAGTACTTTCTTTTTGCCGATTTCGATTATTGGAACTCGTGAAGATCAGGTTCGTTTACAGGGGGGTTTACTCAGGTCTTTGCCTGTCACCAATATTGGAATCGGTAATCCGAGACGATGTTTATACCTCTCATTTAGCTCCGCCCCCAATATATAAGCAGGTACAGAGTAAAACGCGAACCAGTTTCAATGAAGCTCTGAAGCAGCCAACTGGATTATATCATATATTTATATAGAATTACATGCATTTTTTACCGCGTAGCATAACATAACATAACATCGCCTAATTACATTACATTCATTTTTCTCTCACTAGTTTGTGAAATTGTAGCCTGGCTTTTACGTTTAGTTCTTACTTTTGTATTTTGAGTAGTCTTAGGTAGAAACGGACTCTGTAAGTAAAATTAATAATAAATAAATTATATTATTACTGTCATTATTGTGATTGAGTGGGTTTCCTCGCAGATCCGGTCCTGCGTACCATTGATGCGATCCCGAAAGGGGCGGGCTTGCGATTGTCGACCCTCGCACGCGCCACAAAAAGAGCAACGCGATCGGGAAAGACCACACGGGCGTCCGCAAAGGCACTCGCAGGGCTTCAGTGATCCGGCTGGTGGTGCCGGCGGTGGTGGCGGTGACGGTGGTGTCGGTGATACGTTCCGATTTTGATTTTCGTCGGCCACTTTTCCGTCAAGAGTCCCACGTTTGACAGAATTTTCCGAAAAGGTACGTGGTCCGGTGTTTGCAATGCTTTTTGGACCCCGGTCGGTTGAGATTCCGGAAGAATTTCGGGGAATTGCCCAAGGAGTTCCGGGGAATTTCAAGGAATTTTCGTGAAATTCACCAGAATTTCAAGGAATCCCCCTGAAATTTAGGGAATTCCCCGGAATTATAATAAGGAATTCACGGGAATTACATCCCACCGCCGGTTGTTTTAGTAATTTTTGGGCGTTTTTTTTTCAATTTCCCAATGAACGAAGCGGCTCGCTATTATCCGAATGATCATCATTCGCGTTTGGAATTTCAATATACTAAATAAGACATTTTAAGGCGCTTATTCATTGCGCCGACATCAAGTAGGCTTTGCTCTTTAAAGAGTCGAAAGTTGGCGCCTTTCGTATAAGACATTTTTTCCCTAGTATAATTTAACTAAATTGGAACAGATTTTAACAGTTATTTATTGGTTTATGACAGCTGTTTCGCTAAAATATGACATCTACGCCATGTGTTTTCAAAGTTTTTAAAATTTGCAAAGTTTTCAAAAATAAAATATACGGGTGGGTGCTGCAAGGTGGCCACTTGAACTTTTTATTATTGTTTGTGGCTTTTAACCATGAAGTCGATTTGCTTTTGACTAACTTTAACTAAATTTACCAACATTTTGGCGAAGCTTCTAGCTTTTGGTATAATAAATGAAATTATTTATTAAAAAGTATTTAATAAAAAAAACGTTACTGATTAGTAGCTATTTTTCTATCGATTAAAAAAATTGTTTTTGGTATTTATAAGATTTTAGAAAGCTCTGACTTCAGGCTAAATCCATAGAATTATCCAAAAAATAACATTTACAAAAAATTACCTTTGATTCATGGAATAGCTTTTTTCCGAATTTTTACAAAGAATAACAATAAAATATCTATTTAAAACGTCTAGTATTTAGTTAGCAACTAGTGTCCTTCAGAAAAAAATATTGGAAAACTTTCCTTGTACTTTTACTGTTTTAATGAAACAATATAACATCCTAACCACAAGATAGATAATAAACGATTCTAATTTAAAACAATTATTGTCTGTTAATAAGTGTCCGCCACCTTGAAGGATACACGCCTCAGTTTTTTGGCATCATATTGCCGTGCAATCTTTGAAGTATACCTCCAGTGTTTGAAAAAATCAAGTAAATATTTTTTTTAGGAATGATTTTGGAAATTTATTTTAAGAGAAATCAGTGGCATACCATCGATGTCTGCCAAAACACACAGGTGAAATTTTGTACGCCCGCCACTGGTGTATTTTTAAGAAAATGTTGATCAGTAATACATGTGTGCCAAATTTCATTAAGACATCTAAAGTGGCATTACATGTATTAAAAAAAGTTAAGGCGTGTGTTCATATGAAGTTTTTTTTTAAATGTACCCTAAATCGCATTCAATTAGAAAACACTCTGTATATATGAACATTTAGTAATAGATTTTTGTTGTACAGTTGTAGAGTTATAAATTTACTTTCATCAAGGGGGGTGAGGATAGCGATAATAGAAAAAAAGCACTTTCCTTGCAATTTATAACGAAGGCCTCTTTGTTTTAAATCAATAACATGTTTAAATTGTTATTTTAAACATTTAATTTCTGATGCTTATGTTATTATCCGTTAATTATAATTTCAATGGTTTCCTTTTCAATCCAAATGCAGACAATACTTTTGTTTTAGTAAGAATAAGTAATAAAAATGTTATACCCGTGTTAGTTTCAAGGAGACATATAGATTCATACAGCGAACTTTTTGATTTATTAAAGACCACCAATGAAGCAAAATCAAATTTAATTTTGATCAAATCGTTAGTTTTTTTTTTTATTTTACGTTTTTTCTCTCAGTGTATAGTATAGTGTAGACTGGTCAGTTGCCACAAACAAATTCGACCGGTCAATTACTCTAGCTTTGACCCCTGTATCTCGGTTAATGTCAACTTAAATCGCAATATTTTGAATCCGTGCCCTAATGAAAGGTTTTAGGTTGTTCCAAGTTTTTTTATAATAATTTTCCGTTTTATTTACAGGGTGGGCAATTTATTAGGGGCCTGTACCTTTTCTCAGGATTTTAGAAAAAAAGTTTATACAAAAATTTTATGGTTCAAATTAAATTTTAAAATTATTTATTCTTTATATATACAGGTTTGTTTTCATTAACAATAGAACAATAGAATACTCCTATTTTCTTAAAGGGCTTAGTAATATTAATATTGAACTTACTTTTTACCCTTGTATAAATGTTTATAATTGTTTTAAGTGACGTTATAATTAAGTGTCAGAGTTTGACGGATGTGATTTTATTATTACCCAAGTTGAAAATGTATACGGTGCAAGAAAAAACAGATATGCTTGAAGTGTTTTTTATGTCTCTTAGAGAGTATGCTGTAAGGCGGATTCCAGAGAAGAAGCTATTTCGAAAAATTTATGCAAAGTTTAGCCAAGATGGTAAGCCTTGTGCCAATGTCCAAGAAAAGACCACGACAAGTTCTAACGGAGGAAAAACCTTTATTTTTGGCAAGGATTCTAAAAATATCAAAATATATAGTGTGTTCCGTTTAAAATGTTAAAACTAATATTGGCCCAGCACTTAGCGGTCACCCTGTATATATATAAAATAAATAAGATTTGATCATTTGAACCATAAAACTTTTGTATAAACTTTTTTTTGACCAGCCTGTACATACGTCTATTGAATTTATTCACTGCAACTAGTTGTTTTTTTTATTTTTTTAAATATTTTCTTATACAATAAGCGACTTTTAATGTTTTTTTGTCGTAAGTAGCAAAGCGTTTGCCATCCAAAATTCCCTCGAGTCACAGTGCAAGATGGATTTTCTATAAACCAAGCAAGCATCGTACAATTAGGCGAAATTGATTAATTTTAGTTGAATATTGTTAATAGCCTTGAACCTAAATGCGATTTGGTATAGAAATTAATAGATAAAAATCGACCGAATAATCGATTAAAAACAACTTTTCTACAGTAGGCTCGCACAAAAGAGTCTCGGCATAAAAACTGCCGATTCAAAATAAAAAATGGCGGACGCACGTTGCACCTCGACGGGTAGGTTTTAGTTTTTGCCCGCGAAAAGTCGATAATAATTGGGCTAGCCATTTAATAACTCGCCTTTTTGTTTAATTACCGTCGCAACTGTCTCGACGTATGCGTAAAGGCGCCCGTATCTGTCACTGTCGTTTTTGTTGAATCGCGAGCACATGTCTCGACGGTCGCGTTTCGCTTTTATTGAGGATTTACGGTACCGTTTCGTATAATTTTTGCTAGTTTAACCGCCCATCGGGGCCGATACGAACGGTGGCTTCGAGCGAGATTTGCATTTTACATCGGCACTTATAAATTCGTCAGGGTGTACCGCCATATTGTACATTATATTTTGACATCCACCTACAGACTTAATTTCGAAAGATAGAAAAAAATGTAAATACAGAAGATTTTTGCTCTATTGTCTTACGCAAATGTCTGAAAAACGAACGCCGATCGCAAACTGTCAAAATGACAGCAACGTCGTTTTTTTAAAATGGAATGCCCTATATATCATTAGCATAAATCGTAGACCTTTTTTTTGAAAACTTGTAGCTTATTTCATTTAGTCGCTTTTGAGATATGTCAGTTTAAAAATAATTATCATTCGGTTTCTGGACAATAGCCATATTGTTTAAAAATGGTCAGGTGTGCCTTGATAGCAACCACATTATCTACGTTTGCGATTGTTTTAACAATGTATTACTTTTGACAACTAATCAAAATTAAAGATCTGCAGCCCAAGTTAAATAACAAACCAATAATATTTAATAAACATAACCTCCATTATTTTCCATACATCGGACAATATTTCCTTTCAATTTCCAATTAATACACGAGGTGATAAAATCAGGGTTTTCTCTTGTAAAACGATATTAAGTCTTTCTCTTATCACTTGTAAACATTCATTTTTTAAGTATCCTCACAAAAAAAATGTCACAAGGATTCAGGTCGGAGCTGTTGGCAGGCCATTTGATAGTTCCTTGCCTACCTATCCAAAGTCTATATTTATTATTTAGATAATCGGTAACCGGTTGGGCATTATGTGGAGGTGCGCCATCTTGATGCCAAATTAAATTTAAATAATTCCTAACTGGCATATTTTCTAACAACTGTTCTATTTCTGTTGCAAGGAAATTTTAATATTGTTGACCATTCAAGGATCCTTCATATATAATTGTTTAACATACCACACCACACATTAATTGATGTCCGTCCTTGAATTTTCACTACCTACATTATTGGTGGACCAAAAATGTTCATTTTTCCTATTAAATACATCTGATGTTATAAATCAAGCCTCGTCCGTAAATATTATTTTGTTTAGAAAATTTCCATCTTCTTGAGATCTGCTATACATTTCAGTGCAAAATTCGAGCCTTTTATGCTCATCGGTTAAATTTTGCATTGGAAAAATTATGATATTTTAGGGTTCGTTGAATTTTCCGGATAATTTTATAACGTCAGATATAGAATATTAAGATTTTTTTTAAAAATCAGAAATATAAAAATTAGGACGGTAGAACTCAAAGTTATAATGTCAGGTGTCGTAATATATTGAGGTTTTCATCAAAATTTCTTTTTATTGTCCTGGTGTTGCGCTATTTCGGTCCTCAAATTGTTTAATTACATTTTTAATTGTATTTATTTAAGGAACTCTTCTACTCGGATATATTTGTCGATATTCTCTTTTAACCCTTGCAACATTATGTACGATTGAATAATATAATTTTATTATTTGGCGTTTTTCGTCCTCAGAAGTTATTTACTTACAGATCTTTAGTTTTAATTAGTTGCCAAACAATTGCAAAGATAAACAATATGGTTGCTATCAAGGCAGACTTGACCATTTTTAAACAATATGGCTATTGTCCAGAAATCGAATGATAATTATTTTTAAACTGAATTATTTCAAAAATTGCTAAATGAAATGTCAATTA